CGGGACGGCACAACCCGTTTCTGTGTAGACTACCGGAGGCTAAACGATAAAACAACCTCAGACGCCTACCCTATGCCCCGGATAGACGAGCTCCTAGACAAAATGGCCAGAGGCCAGTACCTCACAACAATAGATCTGTGCAAGGGGTACTGGCAAATTCCATTAGCCGAGGACGCCATCCACAAGTCGGCATTTGTCACCTCGTTTGGCCTGTATCAGTTTAAGGTCATGCCATTCGGGATGAAGAATGCCCCGGCTAACTTTCAGAGGATGGTAGATCGGCTACTGGATGGGTTTCAGGAGTATGCCTGCGCCTACTTGGATGATATAGCCATTTTTAGCTGCTCCTGGCCCGAACACCTGACCCACATAGGAGCCGTACTAGACCGGATTAGGGAGGCCGGACTGACCCTAAAGCCCAGTAAGTGCCATATAGGAAGGCGTAAAAACCTCCCCAGAGTGTGAACAGTATGGGCCCCAGAGTGTGAACAGGCCTTCCAACAGCTCAAGACGGCGCTCATTAAATCACCTGTACTTTCTGCTCCTGATCCAACTAAACGCTTTCTCGTCCATACAGACGCTTTTATGTTTGGATTGGGAGCAGTACTGAGCCAAGTCGGAGCAGATGGCGGCGAGCAACCCGGGGCTTATCTAAGCCTGAAACTTTTGCCCAGGGAAGTAGATACACTGCCATTGAAAAGGAGTGCCTGGCGGTGGTGTGGGCTTTCAAAAAGCTGCAACCTTACTTGTATGGACAACCGTTTACCTTACTCACAGATCACAACAAATTTGGGGCACTGCGCGTGCAATCTAATGTGCCACCAGATAGGAGTGGTGTGTTAAGTAGTACTATTCTTATCAGTTTAATCCCTGTTACGTCCCCTATCAGGGGACGTGAATATGGCATCGATTTTAGGAACTGGGAGATGGAAAAAGATGCTTGGTCGGTCCTCCTTCTTCAAATTTGGGGCACTGCGCGTGCAATCTAATGTGCCACCAGATAGGAGTGGTGTGTTAAGTAGTACTATTCTTATCAGTTTAATCCCTGTTACGTCCCCTATCCGTTGATGTGGAGCAAGACGCAGCAGCAGAAGAGGACTCAGCCGAGGAGGTTATGGAAGAGGATGGAGTAGGAGGAGTAGAGGAGGTGGCAGCAGGCCTGCCTGCAAGTCGTGGCGGTGTCACCAACTCCTCTGCAGAGCCACGCATTCCATGCTTGGCAGCCATCAGCAGTTTTGCCCAATGTTCAGTGTAGGTGATATACCTGCCCTGACCATGCTTTGCAGATCAGGTATCAGTGGTCAGATGGACCCTTGCCCCAACACTGTGTGCCAGACATGCCATTATTTCCTTTTGCACAATCAAGTACAGGTTGGGGATTGCCTTTTGTGAAAAGAAATTTCGTCCGGGTACCAGTGAGTGAGTGGTGGCACTGGGCACAGTATCCACTGTGAGCCTGACACAGACGCTGGCAGACAACTAACTGCTATTCAATCTATAACAGTGCAAAAAGTTTTTTGGTTTTAAATACAAGCTATTGTGACACCAGTGAGTGAGTGGTGGCACTGAGCACAGTATCCACTGTGAGACTGACACACCCGCTTTGAGACAACTAACTGCTATTCAATCTATAACAGTGAAAAAAGTTTTTTGTTTTTAAATGCAAGCTATTGTGACACCAGTGAGTGAGTGGTGGCACTGGGCACAGTATCCACTGTGAGCCTGACACACCCGCTTTGAGACAACTAACTGCTATTCAATCTATAACAGTGAAAAAAGTTTTTTGTTTTTAAATGCAGCTATTGTGACACCAGATATGAGTGGCACTGGAACTGGGCACAGTACACCGTGAGCCTGACACACGCAACTAACTGCTATTCAATCTATAACAGTGAAAAAAGTTTTTTGTTTTTAAATGCAAGCTATTGTGACACCAGATATGAGTGGCACTGTAAACTGGCAGAGTACACGCTGTAGGGCTGACACACCCGCTTTGAGACAACTAACTGCTATTCAATCTATAACAGTGAAAAAAGTTTTTTGGTTTTAAATGCAAGCTATTGTGACACCAGATATGAGTGGCAAAGTACACTGGCAGAGGTCTGCAGAGCACACGCTGAAGGCCTGACACCCGCTTTAAGGACACTGACTGCTATTAGCTTACACTGAAAAACTTTTTTTCTTTGTAAAAGCACACTATAGAGACACCAGATATGAGTGGCAAAGTACACGGGCAGAGGTCTGCAGAGCACACGCTGAAGGAGGCCTGACACCCGCTTTAAGGACACTGACTGCTATTAGCTTACACTGAAAAACTTTTTTTCTTTGTAAAAGCACGCTATAGAGACACCAGATATGAGTGGCAAAGTACACGGGCAGAGGTCTGCAGAGCACACGCTGAAGGAGGCCTGACACCCGCTTTAAGGACACTGACTGCTATTAGCTTACACTGAAAAACTTTTTTTCTTTGTAAAAGCACACTATAGAGACACCAGATATGAGTGGCAAAGTACACGGGCAGAGGTCTGCAGAGCACACGCTGAAGGAGGCCTGACACCCGCTTTAAGGACACTGACTGCTATTAGCTTACACTGAAAAACTTTTTTTCTTTGTAAAAGCACGCTATAGAGACACCAGATATGAGTGGCAAAGTACACGGGCAGAGGTCTGCAGAGCACACGCTGAAGGAGGCCTGACACCCGCTTTAAGGACACTGACTGCTATTAGCTTACACTGAAAACTTTTTTTCTTTGTAAAAGCACGCTATAGAGACACCAGATATGAGTGGCAAAGTACACGGGCAGAGGTCTGCAGAGCACACGCTGAAGGAGGCCTGACACCCAGACGCTTGCAGACAACTAACTGCTATTTAATCTATTACAGTGAAAACAAATTTTTTTCTTTTTAAATGTCAATCTTAAGCTGTTGTGACACCAGATATGAGTCGTGGCACTGGGCAAATGGGCACAGTATCCACTGTGAGCCTGACACAGAAGCTGGCAGAAAAGTAACTGCTATTCAATCTATAACAGTGAAAAAATTTTTTTTCTTTTTAAATGTCAAGCTTAAGCTATTGTGACACCAGATATGAGTGGTGGCACTGACTGGGCAAATGGGCACAGTATCCACTGTGAGCCTGACACAGAAGCTGGGAGGCAGGCAACTGCAATTACATTACACAAAAAAAAAAGCAGACTGATGTTCTAGCCCTAAAAAGGGCTTTTTGGGGTGCTGTCCTTACAGCAGAGATCAGATGAGTCCTTCAGGACTGTAGTGGACACTGAATACCCTAGCCTAGCTATCAATTTCCTTATCTAATGAGCAGCAGCTACACTTTCCCTCCTCTCAATAAGCATGCAGCTTCAGAATGAATCTAAAATGGATGCTGGGAGGGAGGTGGGAGGGTCTGGAAGGGAGGGTCTGCTGCTAATTTGCTGGAATGTGTCTGCTGACCGTGAGGCACAGGGTCAAAGTTTGCTCAATGATGACGAATAGGGGGCGGATCGAACCGCGCATGTGTTCGCCCGCGGTGGCGAACACGCTATGTTCGCCGGGAACTATTCGCCAGCGAACAGTTCGGTACATCACTAGTCTAGAACATATTTATGTAAAATAATCACTTTACTAGAGACTGTCCATTGTTTATGGAATTAAAGACTCTTCTTACATTGCAATAAATTATTATTTTATATAATTATAGATATTATTCCCAATACACTTGGTTTGAACATTACTTTGTAATACTTCTTGAAATTTCCCACCCAGAGAACATGGCAGCTACCATCACTTTTATAATAAAGATATCTCTAACAAACTCTGCTTGCTCACAGATTTTGTCTAATGAAGTAGTTTCCCTACAGGGATACTCATTGCCTTGTGTTAATTTTAATTTTGAAAATGACATCAATAAGTTATTAATTTTGTTTAAGATATATATTCTGTGTACTGAATAATTAAATAATTTATGACTGGAAAAGTATTATTTAAGCTTCAGAACCACAACTAGACAATTACAGAAAAATAAATTTAACCCTTTAAGGATGGCAGGCGTACTCTGCAGTCCTTATGGAGGTGGCTCTAAACGCTGCAGGGCGGCATAGTACACCCAGCCGTCCGCTGCTCTTTGACTTACCTAGACTGGCGATCCATCATGATTCTGGTCGGGTGGTGGAGGAGAGTGACTGACAACCCCTGCAGCTCAACTCCACCTCGCCGGCCCTCCAGGGCCATGTGATCACAATGATCATATGGCCGCATAGGTGGCTATGAGCCTGCAAATGCAAAATATATATATAATAAAGACATGTAATAAATACCCTGGATTGTCTACTTTTATAAATGGTATGCCATGATGGAGTTAATTTTCATTCCTAGACTGCCATACGGTCTCAAAGGCAATTTAGGGCCAGCAAACCAATTGGGTAAATTTAAATGTGCAAACATGGAAAAGGGGAAAGCCCTATATATGACCCTGTAAGTTCTCCAAACCCCATACAACCTGTACATGGGGGTTACTGTTGTACTCGTGAGACATCGCTAAATTCAAATGTGTATTTGATTACAGTAAAAGCTAACAGTATTATGTCAGTCACTGTTAAAATGCCATGCAGAACTTGAAAAATAACAAAATGTATTAATTTCTCACACTTTATATTTTATTCATATTAAATTATGTTTGAGATCTAAATATTTGATGTGAAATGAAAGCCCTGTTTCTACTGAACAAAATTATAATATGTGTTGGTGCACTTACCATATTTATTCGAGAATAACGCGCACACGTGTATAACACGCACCCCTAATTTTCGATTAAAAATCGGTATAAAATTTTGTTTCACACCAAGCATTGTAATTGACAAAAAAACGTTGTTGAACACGTGCGGCCATGATAAAAATCATTTATTGACAACGTAAACTGGTATAAACACAATACCGAAATAAAATTACCGGTAACAATATTTATTTAAAATGCTTCAAAGTCAGATTCATCATCAGATACACTAGAGTTGTTCCCATTCTTCTTGAGTGAATTTTTCATCAGTGTCCCAGTTGGCAGCAACATCTGTTTCTCCAGTTTCTTCGCTTTCTTCTGAGTCTGAATTCCACAGCAGGTCGTCTTCTGTGCCGTCCATTTTATTGCTGATGCCTGTCTTCAAAAAACTCTTGATGATCATTTCTTTTGGTATGTCTTCCCATGATGTTTTAACCCAGGATGTCACGAGAGATAGGCCAGGTTTCTTGAGGTTTCCCTTTGCAGTCAATTCTTTGTCGTCGGATTTCATCCAGGTAATCCACTTTTCCCTATAGAGGTTAGTCCACCTGGAATCACAGCTTGAAATGTTTTTAGACTTTTCAGTTTGTCCTTCACAGTGTCTGTCAGGTGTGAGCGGAACTCATACAAGCATGGAACTCATACAAGCATGGATTTCTTCAGTAGTGCGCCTGGTCTAGTATTCCAAACTTTATTTAACCATAAAATGATGCCCTTTTCATCCATCCATCCTTTAGGATGACAATGGATCACGACACCTGGTGGAAATTTAACTCCTTTTGGAATAGTCTTTCTTTTAAAAATCACCATTGGTTTAAGTTTAAAACCGTCTGCCATACAGGATAACACAACGGTAAAATGAGTTTTCTCATGGCCTGTGGTTCTAATCTGGACTATGTGCTTCCCTTTGCTGTCAATTGTCCTGTTGCCTGGTAGGTCAAAACACATGGGGGTCTCATCCATATTGCCTATCTGTGAAAGTTCAAAATTAATCTGCTTGCGTTGGTTGATTATAAAGGTATGGAATGAAGCGATCTTCTCTTCTAAATCATTAGGCAGCTTCTGTGCTATCTTTGTTCTCTGGCGTATTGCCTTTTCATAAACTTTTGTGTCCATCCATTAGAGGCTTTGAAGTTTGAATCTTTGCAAAACTTTTGGGCTTGAAGTCTAATGTGGAGTGATGTGACGATGTACCCACTACTTCTTTGGTCAATGATCCATTCATAAAGTTCCTTCTCCATGTCTGGGTACATGGCTTGTCTCCCTCGTTGTGCTTTTTTTGTTTTATTCATATCTTTCAGGACGACTTTCTGTTTTCTCCATTCTCTAACATTCGTCTCTGGTACAGTGAATTCTCGGCTAGCTGCTCGATTTCCGTGAATTTCAGCATGATCAACAACTTTGAGCTTGAATGAAGCGTCATATGCAGAACGTTTTCTCTTGATACCCTGAGTTGCCATCTAACGGGTACCAGAATATCAATTAAAATATGAAGAACACTGAATTACGGTACGCAAAACACTGAATTGTACAAAAGCAATGCTTACCGTAACATGTGGGCGAGACGAGGAAATGAAGCGGCGACCATACAGCGGATAATAAGAATTCTCACCCCCAGTTCGGGCCGCCCACTGTACGGACGTTTTTTTTTCTTCGCCCTCGCGTACAGTGAGCGGCTGCAGCCCGGAAAAGGCGCAGTGCGAACTCACAATTCACCTGCACCCTCAATGGACCGGCCGCCACTGCCACCCCACCCCAGCCCTCGTTTATAACGTGCACCCAAACTTTGATTTATTTTTTTGGTAGAAAATGTTGCGCGTTATACTCGAATAAATACGGTAATATGAAAAAGGTGGATTATGGTTGTACAGACAGTCAAATTCCAGGTTTTGTTCACAACTTGTACAACTGGCTCCGTACTTAAGGGATTCAAATATTTACAGATTGGGTTTCTAGCACATATAGTTGAAACAAGTAGGCAGCTCAAACACCCAAATCGGAGTCTCTCAGTTCCAATCCAATGGAAGATGTGTGTATTGGACAGAGGGGGTAGCACCTTGATACATTCTCAAAAGGTAGGCGTATTCTTGGTGGGAGCTGAATATATCAAATATAAGAATACAGCAAAATATAGTGTAGTATTTTCTGTATCAGTGAATATAGAAGAAGAAATACAGAGTGTAGCGCTTCAGTGGCTCTACTTAGATGCACCTGGGAGGTATAATAACTGCCTAAGTATAACTGGTCTCTTCTTCAATAAAAAGGTTTAAGTGCGTGAAGCCATCAAAGAAAGTGAAGTGGCAAAGGATGGTATATGCCCCAAAGGACCTCGTAAAGCTTGTAGTCAGATGCTGTATTGATTTATGCAAATAATGTGAATCCAGGCTCTAATGTAAACGATCAGGATGTCACAGTGTTTCATGCTCTTGATCAGGTCAGGAGGGAGACGATTGTCAGAGTTTACTAAAGAGCCTTCATTTGCAGGTTTTGACATATCAGCAGTATAACTAGTAGAATAAAATAATAAATAGAAGGAAAGGGAGAAATAAACATCAAGACAATATGCCCTATATAGAAAATAAACATGTTTGCAAATAATAAGAAAGCTAGATAAAAGTATAGGAAGAATAATAATATGGTTTTACTTCAGGGAGATCATGCTAAACTAATCTTATTGATTTTTTTTGATTGGGTAACTAAACCATTAGATCAGGGTGGTGCAGTAGACATTGCTTACCTAGATTTCAGTAAGGCTTTTGACACTGTTGCACATAGAAGGCTCATAAATAAACTGCAAACTTTATGTTTGGATTCCAATATTGTTGAATGGGTAAGACAGTGGCTGAGTGACAGGCAACAGAGGGTTGTAGTCAATTGAGTATATTCAAAGCATGAGCTGGTCACCAGTGGGGTACCTCAGGGATCTGTGCCTGGACCATTCTCTTTAATATTTTAATTAGTGATATTGCAGAAGGTCTTGATGGTAAGGTATGTCTTCTTGCTGATGATACAAATATATTTAACAGGGTTGATGTTCCAGGAGGGATAAGCCAAATGGCAAATGATTTAGGTAAACTAGAAAAATGGTCAGAGTTGTGTCAACTGACATTTAATGTGGATAAGTGCAAGATAATGCATCTTGGATGTAAAAACCCAAGGGCAGAGTACAGAATATTTGTAGAGTCCTAACCTCAACATCTGAGGAAAGGGATTTAGGGGTGATTATTTCTGATGACTTAAAGGTAGGCAGACAATGTAATAGAACAACAGGAAATTCAAGAGTACATAGATTTTAATTAGAGGGGCAAAGATTTAAAAATAATATCAGGAAGTATTACTTTACTGAGAGGGTAATGGATGCATGGAATAGCCTTCCAGCTGAAGTAATAGAGGTGAACTCCACCTCCTTTCAGATGCATCATCATCCTTATATTACAGCTATTTATTAAAATTATCCCATACTAGAGGTTCCACCAGTTAAGCCCACCCTGCTTTCATATGTTTGTATTGACATTTATATCTATATCTCTAATGTTAGTATACATGTATTTCTATAACTTTACTGTTACTTCACATATATTTCTGTAACTTCAATGTCAATATACACGCTTCACTGTAAATGTATATATGTTTTTTCTTTACGGTATTTTCGCTTTTGGGCCATAGATTGCCCGGTGACTTCATTTCCCCACACTGCATGGCTGTGGGATGCGCACGCTTATTCGCGTGCACCCCATGGTCCACCTACACTCCCTCCCACTACACTGTTCTCTCTTATGTGTATATCCCTAAAAGGGAGGCTCCTCCTGATTGCAACACATTTGTTGCTGCATCACAGCCGTATGGGTGGGCTCGAACCCTCTAGCGTTAGTGTAGCATACATTCCCCATAATGACTTTGTGCACCACGTGACCGCTCTTCTACATTTCCTGATATATTTTCTTTTTATACACCCTTCGTTTTAATAAATTAATTATATTTTCACACTTTGTATAATTCATATACCGTTTTAACATTGCTATTAATTTATTTTGTATTTGTAGATGTCCTATAATCATGACGTCATTTTGGCGCCAAGATTTGAAGAATTAATTGATTGTACTGCCTATATAATGCACTACTTACCAGGTTATTGTTTTTATTGCCAGTTGATGAAGCCCTGTTTTGGCAAAAAAGAAATATTGACCCTTTAATTTTGTGTGTGCCATATACCCTCTTTACATATTTTTTATTTATTTTATTTCTTAACCTGGTCACCAAGAACTTTGGAGTATTCACTCACCCAAGAATCCCAGGTTGGGATTATACCATCCACGCTTTTATAGTGAGTAGTATTTCCTGCTCACTTAAATGTGAGTATTATACCTTTTACATGTCTACCTTTTATTACTATATTCAGAGAGCACTATTTTGGTTTTATCTCTCTCTCCATACCAATGACCTTCACCACATACTAACACTTAAAGTGGGGGATCGACACCACTGAATGCCATTTACACCTGAGCTTGTACTAGCTCTCTAACTAGTTACCACTGTTGCTTAACTCCTCTTTTCACTACCAGAGACAGATTACACTATTGGAATTTTCTCTCATTTACATGTTCCTACGGAACCTGAATATCCGACTACCTCAGAACCTGTACGACCAATATACCTACATCGCACTCCAATTACTCAACCAAATTAGAATATTCATCAATATATCTTTTAACCAGGACTTTTTTTATTTCCCATTTATGCCTTTTTTTACGTAAGTATATCATTGGTGTTATTTTATCATAGTATTTATTTTACCGTGGCGCGACCTATACTTTTTGTTTTTGCAAATAACCAACATGATATATTATAAAGTGTCTAGATGTAGGTGACTTGTCATATTTAACATTGTCAATACCATGTTAGACAGAAGTAGCTTAATATATGGAGTAAGGATAAAACTTATTGGATGAGGGATTAAGGTTCCCTGGATTCCTTTGACATTGAGAGGTCCATATAGGCTGGGTTGGATTAGGTCTAGTGAGACTGAGTGTATCATTGAATGTAGTAATATAAGCAGTATATAACCTTCGTGAAGCAGGCCCTTCATTTCAAGCCCAAATGAGGAGCCATAATTGTATTGTATTGGGTTGCCCATAGAGGGCCTTGTGAAGCGAATGTAGTGAAGGTCAAGAAAGGAAAGGACCATGTTTAAAGGTATTGATGACACTCAATCATTTGCAACATATTAGTACATTTAGGCTGTGTCCTATGTATGTGATGATGATCTCACCTAATAGATACTGCTGAACCATAGTGTTTGACATGGGATAGGGATGACGTATATGATACTGATACTGGTTCCCCAAGAGGATGTCCTAGGGAAAGCAGTATAGTATAGTAAGGTATGATTAGTTTATCAATAACGTGTAGTGTGGTGGGGTAGTATGCAACCCCTGTAAGTGGATGTTATGCAAATGAAAAGCCCAATGAAGCACTGAAATAGGAACATAGTATGTTGCCCACTAAGGGTCATATGAAACGGACGTTGTAAAATCCGAGAAGGGACCCAATGAAAGTCCTGAGGTGCAGGGTGGCCATCTGAGGTTGTGAAAAAAGTAATGGAGGGGGCAATTGGTAGATCAGATATAGGTTGAAGAGTTTGTTGAGAAGTAGCGATTAAAGGAGCTGTGATAGTAATGAGACAGTAGACAAATAATAACAATAAAAGTAATAAATGTCTAGCTTGTGAAATGGTTAACATAAAGAACGTAAGAAATACACATGTTAAAAGTTATACAATACATACTTACTGAGCCAATTGAACGTAGGTTATAAAACAGAATTCACGACAGTTATGAGGTTTAGACCACTAGAATGCAATAGTGCTGAATTGATTTTAGGCTACGATGGCCGTACGCTAAACTTAGGAGGAAAATTGTTCTTTTAAAAATTGGCCTGATCGTTATATTGGGCAATGTCTGAGAAATTTCTCCTCAATCTGAGGAATTGTCCTTTTGGGATGTTGTCTAGCAAGGGGCGGAAGTGATATCTATCTGTGTGGATATAACTGTTCACATCTACCTTTTTAAAGAATGTTTGAGTTTTTATTTTATCCTTTTAAATATAGATCTCTAGATCCAGAAAATGTACTATTTGTTTATGGATCTCATTAGTTAACTTAATGTTCCACGAGTCAGTGTTTAAAAGGAAAAAAATTCTAAAACTGAGTCCCTGTTGCCTTTCCAAATAAAAAAAATATATTGCCGGTGTAACATTTATATTGGACTAGATTTGCAGTCCAGCTATGTTAGGAATATAAATATATAAAAAAAAACATCCAATGAGCCATAAAAAGATTTGAATAGCTGGGTGCAAACCTAGTCCCCATAGCTGTGCCTCTACACTGTAAGTAAAAATCACCTTGAAACCCAAAAAAATTATTCTGTAGAATAAAAGAGATGCCATCTATAATAAAATTAAT